ACAGATACTACACTTGATCTTAGCCAAAAGGCCGAGAAAGGTATGCTTTACTTAACTCACAGACTTCGTGCTTTATACTCGCTCTCAATTCTATGCTTTTTGTATTCCGTCGATATGGGACTGATGAAATACTACCTACAATTTTATATTAGTGTGAGAAAGACAGTGGTAATTGAGTTATAAAGACCTTAAACATGATTTAGCTTGGTTATCGATGCTCAAATAAACACTATAGTTATACACTTATACTAGCTATATATAAGTGTCATTTAAACTTATTTTGTGCACATTAAGAAAAATAATAAATAGAAGAGTATAATTGGTAAAATATACAATTTTTGTCTTTAATTTCTTGTATCACTCTTATTTTGAGAATAAACAATTTTGCTAAATTTTTTTGCTGAAATTTCTAAGACGAGAAAAGGATAAATATATTTCGAAACTATTACAAATGATACATATATACTATCCGTTGTACTTAAGATTGTATATAACCTTATTGTCGTACTATTGGACCATATATCCCTATTCCCTAATTAGCCAAACGGAACAACACATGGTGTCCAAATTTATTTTAATTTTTACGTTAAGCCAAACTATTACAATCTTCTTTTTTATGCGTTAATAGTTTTATTTTTGTTTTAATGAAAAGCTTTAAAGAATAACTTTTATGCCCGATTTGATTTAGGGGATACTGTTGATTGTAGTGCGGTTATTGAAGGAATTCTTTTTTCTTTTCGATTTTGGATTTTCAAAATATGTTTTTTTAGGATTTTACTTTGATGTCTTTTGCATAGATTTGTAAGGAATTTGTGCATTTTTATGGTAAAGAATTTTTTTTATTTTAGAATTTCACTTTGCTAGGATTTTACTTTATTGCCTTTTTCTAAGATATGTTAAGGGTTTGTGCATTCTTTCTATTAAAGAAATATTTTGCTCGCCTCTCTCCTCCCTCTCCCAATCTCTCTCGCTAAATATACAAATACATATATATACCAGTTATATATATACATTTATCTGACAGATATACATATATAGTTCGCCTCTCTCCTCCCTCTCTCAACCTCGCTGACCTCTCTCCTCCCTGTAACATGTAGCTACGATTGTAATCAACAAACTATAGCGCACAAATAAATTATTTTTGAGTAGCTATATGTGAAAATTCCCCTATATAATATTGGGTTTAAGTTTGTTGTCTATTGGGTCTAAATTTGTTGTCTACTTATCTTTTTTTGTTTTGTTTACTATTGATGAAGTACAGAAACCCCATCAATTTGAGCGCTAATTACATCATATTATAAAAGTTTCTCAAATTACAATAATTTCAAAATTTTCAAAACTTGTGGATATATTGCTCCTTCTCCCAATACATAGCAAATTCTACATGAGTTATGTATATGATACATAACTATAAACCAAATTCATATTGATTTAGGTTTGAATGAATGCATCAACAATAACATTTGTATCAGATACATTGTAAACAAACGAAGTTGTAATATATCTGATAGAGGTGGAGTGATGTATCTGGATGTTAAGAGAGAAGGAAAAAAGAGGATTTTTGTAATTAATTCAAATGATAGGGACTTTAGAAATTATATTATCTTAAGTCATGTGATTACGTAATTTTCTCTATTATTTATATCTCAACTCTATACAAAATGGGCCAAATGAACCCAAAAGGAAAAGAAAATAACGAAAATAGAAAACAAAAAACAAGCCCGGTCCAAAGGATCCGCCTCCTTTTATATATCAGCCCTAAGAAGTAGGGTTTTCCATTTTGAGCTCCTGATCATCTCCCTCTATGTCGCCGCTTGGAGCTTCTGGTAACCTGAGCTTCCTTTTCCTCTTGTTATGGGTAATCAATACTTATTATGATGAAGCTTTCTTTTCTTCTCAACTCACAGAAGCAAGTATAGTTTTCCTTTGTTCTGATATGATTTTGCTCTTCATTTCTTTCTAATCTTCGCTTCCTTATCTGCAAAGGTGTATACCGGTGGATATAGTGGGTTTCTAGGTGGAATCGAGAGAGAAAACAATTGTCGGAGGAAAGTTTCCAAGATCGTTATCGCATAGAGAAATGATGATCAGAACTGTGAACTTCCAATAGCTTACAAGGTGTTCTTCTTCATCCATGTGTTCCATTCTGAAAAATCGAATAAATCTAGGTTGTTCACCAAACCTCTTTATCCTCATTGCCACAGTTTTATCTTAAATTTCCAAACATCATTCAAGTATTGTGGTTAGCATTAATTAGATTCCTTTTCTTAGATCTACATATCAACATGTTGAATCATCTAAGAAGATTAATACCACCATTGACGTTTTAATCCTCCAAAAGGTTTCCAATTTTAAATATTTTTAGAGGTTGGAATCAAGCTGCTTTAGAACGATTATGCTTCATCTGCTCATACTTGTCAAGGGTGTATGAACCAAGCTGAAATCTTCATGTCAAAAAGGGGTATGATCCTGATCTTATCTCTTTTATTGACATAGTAAATAAGTACACAACTAAGTTAGCTTTTACAAGTGTACAATATAGATACATGCATGATCTTTGACCCTTTCGAGTTTCAATCCATATTTTAACTTTAAATACCTATTTTTAAATCTAATTTTTCTTAAGAACCAATCCTAATTTGCCACCTACCCCTAGATACTTCTAACAAACTCATCATTACTTATTTTTCTTGCTCACTAAGTAAGAAAGCACATGACCCTTATACTCACTCACCCATCTTTCACTTGCCGTACACACACAATTACACCAACAATTCACCCATAGAATCACTCTCATTTGCACATAACAGCTAACATTTTTTCTCTTCTTCCTTACTCACACTAGCACACCACCTACACACAATTCATTACATATACTCACATAATCACTAGTTGAATTTAATCCAGAGTACTCTGATCGAAGAAAAATTTACAGTCGAACTCCGATCAACAGCGTTCAGGGGCAAATTTATGTACTAATTTTGGGTCACCCGAACCCGTGGTCATCCGACTAAACTCGATATATTACTTCTATAATTATTAAAGAATATATTAAATTAAAACTTGTTGAACCCGTTTTCAAAATGGCTGGATGGTTCACTGGTACCACTGCAAGATTTCAACTCACAGGTCGCAGGTTCGATCCCAGGCAGCCCCAATTCGCTTCAATTTATTTTTATTAACTAAAAACACATTTTTCATTTTTTTTTAAAAAAAGAAGCTAAATTCTGAAAGTTTAAAAGTCAAAAGACTTCAAAAGTTTCCTTCCCACACACTTTTCAAGTTCCAAGTTCCAACAATATTTTTCTTCCCTCTTCAAATTTGTTTTCTATTTTCCACACAAAGAAGAAGCTT